AAGAGCTAAGAATATGAGTGAGAGTGCTTTGGCAGCAAGAAGTATGTAAACAACTGATGGATATATCCTTGCAGAGCTTTGATTGTTGTTCTCTCATACGCATGGTGGGTTTTCTCCATGTATTCCCGTTTATTACCAAATGACGCCAACCACTCACTGATGGAATTGATCAAGCATCTCTATGTAACAGGACCTCCATGAAAAGGAGTCCTGAAACTCTCAGTGAGGCTTTCCAGGATAAACAATGGTCATTGTTAATTTTATTCACGAGCAAAGAACCCGTTTCTCTGCAACAGAATTTAACAGACAGCTGTCATTTTAAAACTTTTCTCACAATCCTGTACTCCGACCACTCAAAAGTAATTCGCTTTTATACGCAAATAAAATTCTAAGATACTGTGTATTGTGTGTTTGTTTTCTATGTTCGCTATTTATTATACGCCTTCCGAACTTCTTCCGCCGTTTCGGTGGCAATGGCCCACAGCAGCCACTAACAACAGAATTAGTGTTGAGCTGGAGAGGAGCCCAAGCAGCAGCCAGCCAGGAAACTCAAGGCATCAATTATTTGGAATAATTCAATAAAAACAAACTTCAGGAGGGCATGGCTACTGACTGACCAGCGCTTCACCCAGCCACCATCCACCACACCGACGCGAGTTCTTAAAAGTATTTGCCCCATTCTGGCTCAGCCCTCAACCAGATTAGCAAGGTCTGTGCAGGCCGCTCTGGAACAGTCAAAGGCGGCTATGCAGAATGAGTTCGTGGACCCTGCTTCCTCAACTCAGAAATCAGGGTTGAATGCAGCCATCCGGATGCCACTGGCCAAGGAAAGAACGATATCCAGAAGGTGGGAGATACTGCGAGGGGGCATCTTGGAGGGCAGGCATCGAAGTTGAAACAAGTTCAGGAACTAGCAGGAGAAATGGAAACATTGGCCATGATGACCTCTTGACCTTGACTTGATCGTTATGGGGGTAGATTCGATAGTGTGAGGTCAGTGTTAGGTAGTTAGTGCTCGGATTGTAGTGAGAGTCACTGGGAAAAATGTGTTCCGGTGTTAGTAGTAGGGCTTGTGCAACATAGAAAACATTTATTGTGATACTGTGCTTCGGGGATAGGAGATAAGGTTACTGAAGTTAAAGTTAGTTTTACGTGAGTATTTGTAGTGTCAGTTCACATTACTGTTAGTTTAGTATTAGGTTTCGGTGTGAGTTGATGCCGGTGCTATGGTTCGCAGTATTTTAATAAATGTAGGAGCTAATAGTGTTTCAAGTATAATTTTAAGTGTCCGTGGATGATATTAGCATGTATGTCAGGGTCGTAGCGATTAAAATGTAATGCATGGGGCTAGTTGTAGACAAAGAGAGATTTATAATGACGTATTCCATTTATCCGGGAAATCCTCATTGAGTGTCCTGGCTATTTAAGGCCGGGCCAGCGCCGATATTTTCGTCCAATTGTTTTTCAACGAGGGGGCTTTGCGGACATTAAGGGGGGAGAAACAGAGCAACTTCAGGGGAATAACACTCAAAAGTCTGCACCTACTTGCTGTACTGCCCGATTCCTACGCCGTCGCACAACTGCAGCGGGTGTTGAAGTTTTCCCCGATCTGCACGCTCCAACAACCCTCGCCTTTTAAAACGACGCATCGCAGCCAAGCACCCACGTTTCACCGCGCAGCAATGTGTACGCTGCACAATACACACAAATATACAATGCTGTGCATTTGCGTCTACTGCTGTATACCGTGTACGAATTACTGTGTACATACCAAAGTGCTGTTATGTATGAATGGTAGTACTGTGTATGTTTAAGGTTACTGCACTACGCATATGCAGTGGGTGTACACACGATTGTCTAAGCTATACAGTACATTCTAATACTGGGTATAGGTTATAACCGTATGACGTGTACACTGCAGTGCTGTGTATGCATGGCAGTGCTGTGTATGTGTAGTGTGTGCATACATGATCATGTACGTAGTACATTGCAATACTGGGTATTAATTATTCTAGTTACCACTGCAGTACAACAGCACTGGGTATAGATGGCAGTGATGTACACGGCTGCAAGCACTGTGGATACATGATTCTGTACTTGGTAGAGGCATTACGTTGCTGTTTCTAGGCGTCTATTATGCATGATAGCACCACGTGATTTGAACCCATTCATTGTATGAAAGGGTTGAGTAACTATGATGTTAAGTCGGATATTTAATTCGCACGAATTGCGTCACTGCATTGTAATTCAGCATTAAAAACTCGTCATATAATAAAGTTACATAATATTACACCGTTGAATAATTGCAATGTGGTTTACACACATGCACACACATTGACTTATATTGGTTTTTACTTGTACACATAGACAAAGATCCCCCGTATAGCCTTTAACAGACTGTTGTTCAAGGCTGTTAGCGTGCACCGATGAAGGTTGGAGCGGTGGACGCGGTGAGTGGTGTGGCCACTCCATGCCCAGCCACCTTCATCTCAGAATCAGAATCAGAAAGGGTTTTATTCGCCATGTAAGTTCACACCGACACGGAATTTACTTTGGCAGGATGGTGCATACATTCAACATATAGGAATCTAAAATCTTAAAATCTCCCCCCCATTGCTGATCTTTACAAACTGTACAATGTAGTAATTTTATGCCGAGTCAACCTAGGGGAGACTCAGCACCGGCTCCTGTATCTCTCGCCACTGATGTTAGCAATGACCCAGAATGGAACTCGGGTGGGGGCTGGGATTGTGGTGCAGCGTGCTAACCACTGCGCCACCGCTCACCACATGTGCTGTACATACAACAGACATGGAAACAGCAACCTTCTTTCTCAACGAGGGGCGGCGGTGACGTCGCCAAGACGCATGTGCAAGGCTAGGTTCACCGAGAGACGCACAGACATAACCACGCCCACACAAACGGGCGAGGCACCCATCAACAAACACAGCTGACACAGCCAAGTCCACACCCAAACACCCCAACACCTACACACCCAAACACCCCAACACCTACACACACAAACACCCCAACACCTACACACCCACACACCCCAACACCTACACACCCACACACCCCAACACCCACACACCCAAACACCCCAACACCTAAACACCCCAACACCTAAACACCCCAACACCTACACACCCAAACACCCCAACACCTACACACCCACACACCCACACACCCCAACACCCACACACCCAAACACCCCACCACCCACACACCCAAACACCCCAACACCTACACACCCAAACACCCCAACACCTACACACCCAAACACCCCAACACCTACACATACACACACCCCAACACCCACACACCCAAACACCCCAACACCTACACACCCACACACCCCAACACCTACACACCCAAAGACCCCAACACATACACACCCAAACACCCACACACCCAAACACCCCAACGCCTACACCCACACACCCCAACACCCACACACCCCAACACCTACACACCCACACACCCCAACACCTACACACCCACACACCCCAACACATACACACCCAAACACCCCAATACCTACACACCCAAACACCCCAACACCCACACACCTCAACACCTACACACCCAAACACCCCAACACCTACACACCCACACACCCAAACACCCCAACGCCTACACACACACACCCCAACACCCACACACCCAAACAAAGACAAAGATCCCCCGTGTAGCCTTAACACACTGTTGGTGCGAGTGCAGTTAACGAGCACCTATGAAAGTCGGCACGGCACACGAGAGGGTGGGTGGCCAGCACCACGCCCGGCCGCCTTTGTCTCCCTGGTGGCGATGTTTACGCACTGCACCAAATACTCATCTGAGGCCGAGTCGACCTAGGGGAGTCCCAGGACCGGTTCAGGGTTCGTAGCGCAGCGCGCTAACCGCTACACCACCGCTCCCCTACACACACTGACACCTCCTACATCGACAACAGCCGTCACTAGACAGCACTTGTGCCTGGCTAGGTGCACTTTGATTGCACGTTCATCGACATGCACAGTACACACCTACACGTGAACAATTTCACACACGTGAATGTGGACAAAGATCCCCTGTGTAGTCTTTAACAGACTGTTGGGGCAAGTGCTCTTTGGGAGAACCGATTAAGGCCAGGCAAGGGCTGGTTTGTGACGTGCAACCACGCCCGACCGCCTTTGTATCCCCGCCGCTCGTGTGTGACACCCCGCCTTGCGCGCTCATTTCATGCCGAGTCTACCCAACAGTCGCACATGAAGACGCATCCACACAACGCCACGCCCTACACTCACACACTCACACACACAAACACGGCAGCTGTGAAGGCATGCTGATTGTATTAACACTATCATTACACGTTGTTTTATCAAGCGAAACTATCTTCCCACCCCCACCCCAATCCATCGCTAAATTTAACTGTTAACCGAAACAAACTGACCTCAATCGGCGCTTTTATAATACAACATGGCATTTGCAATTACATATAATTTATAATCGAGTGATTAATTTAAGCCGGTAATTACTTTGGCACGCCGAGGTCCAACGTCGCCTAAATGTTGTTAATTCACATAAGACCATCGGGACGCAGTTTACAATCTTGCAGGCCAGGCACACCAGGCTTGTACAGCAATGTGGTCGTAGTTGTAGTGCCTTACGCCGACAAAGCCCGACACGCCCAAGGCAGCGATAAGCAGCAGCTGATGTCCGGAAGATATCGTGCGACACAAAATAGCAAAAAAACCCGACAAAGCCACACAGAGCAATGGACAGAGGGATTCTTCATTTTATTTCGCGGAGCTGTCCGGGGAGGAATTCCGGAAACTTCACCTGTGCCCAACCCGCTTTGGAAGTGGTGGTGGGGGGGGGGGTTATTGCTTATTGGGGGTGCCCGGGAAAATAAACAAAAACAATTTCTCGAGCAATGAAGCCCTTGACGACATCAACAACAACAACAAGAAGAAACAAGAATAAGAATAATAAGCCTGGCGTGTCCGCAAGCCTCTCACCTCCCCAGACGCCCAGGCTGAGTTGAGAGCTGTCGAGGTTCACGACGTAGTCGGCGAGGAAGCGGTTCAGGAGGTCCACCACCAGCGACTCGAACACCATCTCGGAGGCGAATCAGTCCAGAACCGCCGTTTAATTGCCCGCTGGTGGCCCCACGAGAGGCGAGGTCCTGCTGCTGCTGCTGCTCCTACTGCTGCTACTGCTCCTGCTGCTGTTCCTGCTGCTGCTACTGTTGCTGCTCCTGCTGCTGCTCCTGCTGCTGCTGCTCCTGCTGCTACTGCTGCTGCTACTGCTGTTGCTGCTGCTGTTGCTGCTCCTGCTCATGGTCAACTTGCAGGCGGCAGCGGCCTCCGTTCTGCGATCCGGGTCCACGGGGCGCAGCAGTCGCGGGAGCGATTCGATTCCTAGGCACAATTCAACAGGGAGTCGATTAACAAGCCGATTCCCCCGTGCGCGTGTTCGTGTCTGTGTGTGTCAGTTCAGTTCAGTTTTTCAGTTTCAGTTTTTCAGTTTATTTTGGTATAGCCCTGTGAGCCATTCGGCTCTTGAATCGGGTGCAACCACAACAAACAAACAAAAACACGAACAAGAAAAACATCTTAAAGTGACTATGTGACTGTGCAAACAGAAAATCCATGGAAAAAAAACATCAAAAATATTCCTGAAAAAAGCACCGTACACCAACGCTGTGTGCAAAAAATCCCAGTGGGATGCAAGTCAAACAACAACCACAAAAACTTAGATTAAGGCCATCAGTCTAACTCCATACTACAACAAAACAAACATGTCCAAACCAAAAAACTTTTCCAAATCACCAAAAAATAAAGCCATAATTGCAACGTAACAGTGATCACAAGGACTGTGACCGAATTTTTACAATAAACTACATAAATAACATGTAACACCAAATATTAGAACCATAGCTGGCTGCATGAGTTACTCTACAACATCAGAAGCATCGGTCGGAGTATCAAATTTTTCAATTCACGTTCAAGATCAGCACGCTAAATCAAAATACAGATAATACTTTGCAGCGTCATCCGGAGCGAAACATTTTATTTTATTTTACGCCAATGAATAGCAGTGGCAGCTAGGGGTGTACAACTCCTCTAGAACAGTTTTGAGAGAAGATCTCATTGGTAGCGATTCAAGTTGCAGTTTATTGGCAATAGCATTCCAGACTCTGGGGGCATCAATAGCAAAGGCCCTTCCTCCAGTTTTTGTAGGGCAATAGGGAATGTGAAGCTGGTAAATGAGCGAAGACCTGAGGTCAAATTTGTTCTTTGAAACAGAGAGGAGATCCAGCAGGTAGTCTGCGGATTTTTTTGTAAGTACATCGTGAATAAATAAGATCTGGTGCACAAGCCGTCGAACATTAAGAGATGTTAAGTTTGACCCAATGTAGAGATCACAGTGGTGAGTCCTATATGGGCAGTTCAATGTAAATCTTAAGGCCGAGTGATAGATGGAATCAAGCTTAAATTTTGATTTAAAGCTTTCGTGACTGCAGTAATTCATATTCTTAGCTCTTTCGGTAAAGTCACGTTGAAGGGAAACAATAAAACAATAATATATGTTTTATATATATTTTATTATTTTATTGTTTCCCTTCAACGTGACTTTACCGAAAGAGCTAGGAATCAAGCTTCTTCAGTACAGTACTTGGGGCTGATTTATACACGATGTCACAGTAGTCAAGTAGAGGCAGTATGGTAACTTTTATCAATTCCAAACGGAACATTGGGGGGAAGCAGTGCTTGTGTCGATACAGAAAACCAATTTTTATTTTTGTCTTTTTACCAATATAATCAATGTGATCTTCCAAATTCAGTTTTGAATCCAGGATGACCCCAAGATACTTATAGATCTTGATTTGTTCTATTTGACAATTATTTAAGGAATGTAATTGGGGAAAAATAACTTCCTGCTTTAGTCCTGGTGAGAAGCATAGCACCTTGATTTTGGAGGTATTCAGGACTAGTTTAAGAGCAACTAGCTGATGTTGTAGTGTGTTGAAATCACCCTGTAGCTTAGCAATCACGTCATCCGGAGAGCGGCCAGCAGTAATCAGTATCGTGTCATCTGCAAAAAGATTTACCCTGGAATGATCCAGGTCAGTGCCCAAGTCATTGACATAAAGAGAGAACAAAAGGGGGCCGAGGATGGAACCCTGAGGAACCCCTTTTGTTATCTTAACACTGTTTGACCTCCAACCATCTGTGAATACAGTTTGGGTGCGAGAAAAGAGGTAATTTTGTAACCATTTTACTGCGTTTTCGGAAAAACCGAGGCAACTTAGTTTACTAAGCAGGGTGTTGTGGTCTACTGTATCAAAAGCTTTGGACAGGTCTAGAAAAAGACAGGCACAGTACTGCTTATTATCAAGGCTAATGTAAATGTGATTCAGAGAGTCTAATGCAGCAGATGTGGTGCTGTATTTTTTTCGAAACCCAGATTGTTTTAGATGTAGTAGATTGTTGGTGGACAGGAAACTGATAATTTGGTAGGTCAATAATTTTTCAAAAATTTTCATCAACGGGGACAAAATTGAGATAGGTCGGTAGTTATTTGGATCGTCTTTAGGGCCCCCTTTGTGTCTGTGTGTATGTCTGTGCGTGTGTCTGTGCGTGTGTGTCTGTTTAACTCTTGGCTTGGGCAAGGTCCCATCGGTGAGCTCCTCCGGCAGGCAAGGCTGCGATGGCTGGGTCATGTAGCCCGCATGCCCAACCACCGCATGCCGAAACAGCTTTTGTTCGGCCGGATCGAGGGGGGCTAAACGGGCGCGGCACGGGCTAGAGAAGAGATGGAGTGATGTGGTATGGGAGGACGTGGAGCTGAGTGGACTTGCCGATGACTGGTACCAGCGGTGTCAAGATCGGCCTCTGTGGAGGAGGCTCGCGAAGGATGCTGCTGGGCAGTTGGAGGGAGTCGCCCTCCAACAACAACGGAGGGCGGAGGAGCAACGCTCACAACAACAGCACCTGGGTCTGCCCTGTGACCTGCCCGGGGGCGTTCGACACTTCACGTGGCCTCAAGGTGCACATGGCCTGGCACAAGCGTCGTGGTGACGTCACCGCCACTTAGTGGCGAATGGCGGTTGTTGTGTGTTGTGTGTGTCTGTACGTGTGTGTGTGTCTGTGTGTGCGGAGCGGTGGTGTAGCGGTTAGCGCGCTGCGCTATGAACCTGGCGACCCGGGTTCGATTCCCGCTCACGGCCAACACCCAGTGACGATTATCTGAACCGGTCCAGAGCCTCCCCTGTGTGCGATGTGTAAACATCGCCACTAGGGAGACTAAAGGCGGCCGGGCGTGGTGTTGGCCACCCACCCCCTCCAGTGCCGTGCCGGCCTTCATAGGTGCTCGCTAGCAGCACTTGCCCCAACAGTCTGGTGAGACAATACGGGGAATCTTTGTCTTTGAACTTCTTTTGCACCGTACGTAGCCAACCGTGCTCATCGGCATGAATCGACACTCGCGGAGTTAATCCGCCCCTATTGTTACCATTGTGGTAGGAAGTGTAAGGGGAAATCAGTCATTCATTTGCCGTGCTATTTACTTTGGTAGTGGTGCACAAGCACAATTAACACAGAAAGATGCAATGTTCCTCAATAACACTGTGTGTGTGTGGCCTTAAAGGGGCCGTCCATAAATGACGTCACGCGATTTTGGACGATTTTTGACCCCCCCCCCCACCCCTTCGTCACACGACGTCACAAAAAGTCAGAGCCCCCTCAAATATGACGTCACAAAGCTCTGCCCCCCCCCCAAAAAAATATAAAACATGCTTCAAATCGCTTTAAACTATTGTCATTAAAGTGCGTATTTAATGTGGCGCTGCACTCTGATGTTGTAGGAGAAAATTTGTATTAAAAAGTCTATTTAATTAAGTAGAACTTGTCTATATTTATTTAAAGTTGCGCATTTTGATGTGACGTCACATTTCTCAAACTCCCCCCCCACCCCAGGTGCATGACGTCATTTATGGACGGCCCCAAAGGAAGCATCTATAATAGGCAAGGTTTCGGGCAATGGCCCTTCTTCACTGCACAATAAAAAAAGGCCATGCGTCATAAAGAAGGGCCACGGTCCGAAACGTCGCCTGTAATGTTTTGTTGATGTCAAAGCCACATGCACGGTGTTATTGACGATTGTCGTTTTCTTGTGTGAATGTCAAGGTTGGTCCAGAAGTCTTGTGACCCACAATTAATTGACTGCCAAGCATTTTTTCTCCCCCTTTGCATATTCATTAAAAAAAATTAGTGACATTAATACTCTTTGGTTCTTTCGGGAAAAGTCACGTAGGGAGAAAATCATAGATCACGACGTTTCGATCGCAACACAAGCGATCGTCATCAGGTGAGGCAATCACAGCAGGAGAACTGCTGACGCAGGCGAGAGAACTGCCGCTTTACCTAAAGAACCACAGAGGATGAATTCCCGCAGTCGCGAAAGCTTCAAATTAAGTGACATTCAGTTTTTAGAGAAGTAAATGGTAGCCACAAGACGTCTGGACCAGCACTGCAGGACACGTTTGTAAGGTGTGGTGGAGGTAGAGGGGCAGCCCTGAAAGTGCTCGCTCACGCTACTTGTGGGCTGGCTGGAAAGGGGCTTCCACTGCAAGGTGCAGGGTGACTGATCTCTCACTCTGCCACTGCAGGGTGTAGAGTGACTGATCTCTCACTCTACCACTGCAGGGTGTAGGGTGACTGATCTCTCACTCTACCACTGCAGGGTGTAGACTGACTGATCTCTCACTCTACCACTGCAGGGTGCAGGGTGACTAATCTCTCACTCTGCCACTGCAGGGTGCAGGGTGACTGATCTCTCACTCTACCACTGCAGGGTGCAGGGTGACTGATCTCTCACCCTACCACTGCAGGGTGCAGGGTGACTGATCTCTCACTCTACCACTGCAGGGTGCAGGGTGACTGATCTCTCACTCTACCACTGCAGGGTGTAGAGTGACTGATCTCTCACTCTACCACTGCAGGGTGCAGAGTGACTGATCTCTCACTCTACCACTGCAGGGTGTAGGGTGACTGATCTCTCACTCTACCACCGCAGAGTGACTGATCTCTCACTCTACCACTGCAGGGTGCAGGGTGACTGATCTCTTACTCTACCACTGCAGGGTGCAGGGTGACTGATCTCTCACTCTACCACTGCAGGGTGCAGGGTGACTGATCTCTCACTCTACCACTGCAGGGTGTAGAGTGACTGCTCTCTCACTCTACCACTGCAGGGTGCAGGGTGACTGATCTCTCACTCTACCACTGCAGGGTGCAGAGTGACTGATCTCTCACTCTACCACTGCAGGGTGCAGGGTGACTGATCTCTCACTCTACCACTGCAGGGTGTAGAGTGACTGATCTCTCACTCTACCACTGCAGGGTGCAGGGTGACTGATCTCTCA